GAAGAACCGCCCAGAGCACTTCCTGTTTGGAACGCGGCGTCTGCGGCGTAAACTGTGTCCATTTATATAAACAGGATACGACAGAGACAAACCTCCGTCCAATCACAGCGACTTGTTTGTGTCACATGTTTCATCTGTCGTCACTTTCACCAACGACAAAACTACTTTTGTTTGTTTTTTTACGCCACGATTTAGTTTGGACAAATGCCTCTCTGTGATTGGTTAATGCTCCTGTCAATCACTCCCTCTGGACTCAGGACGACCAGCACCACGACGGAGAAGAACCACGGCCCTGATCTTCTGCCGTGTCCCTCAGACCTGCGCCGGACTGAACTGTGACCGAAACCAGCGCCACCGGAAACAAGCCGCTCGTTTCACAGACCTGACTCGTGTCTGTCGGTGTTCATCATCAGCGCAGGTCTCATGAGTCACGAGTCACGAGTCACGACCTGCGGTCGGTCAAAAGTGAAAGTGAAGCGTCAGTCAGAAATGAAACTGAAATGTCGGTCAGAAGAAAAACTGAATTGTTGGTCAGAAACAAAACTGAAGCGTCGGTCAGAAGCGAAACTGAAGCGTTGGTCAGAAATGAAACTGAAGCGTCGGTCAAAAGTGAAAGTGAAGCGTCGGTCAGAAATGAAACTGAAGCGTCGGTCAGAAGAAAAACTGACGCGGTGGTCAGAAGAAAAACTGAAGCGGTGGTCAGAAGAAAAACTGAATCGTTGGTCAGAAGTGAAACTGAAGCATTGGTCAGAAACAAAACTGAAGCGTCGGTCAGAAGCGAAACTGAAGCTACGGTCAGAAGCAAAACTGAAGCGTTGGTCAGAAGCAAAACTGAAGCGTTGGTCAGAAGTGAAACTGAAGCATTGATCAGAAATGAAACTGAAGCGCTGGTCAAAAGAAAAACTGAAGCGTTGGTCAGCAACAAAACTGAAGCGTCGGTCAGAAATGAAACTGAAGCGTCAGTCAGAAGAAAAACTGAAGCGTTGGTCAGAAGTGAAACTGAAGCGTTGGTCAGAAGTGAAACTGAAGCGTTGGTCAGAAGTGAAACTGAAGCGTTGGTCAGAAGTGAAACTGAAGCGTTGGTCAGAAGTGAAACTGAAGCGTTGGTCAGAAGTCGTGTCCTTTTGAAAAACCAGCTGCTGTTGTTGGACTAACTCTTCTGAAGTGAAGCTTTTCTCCGTCTCGTTCCAAAGTCCCAGAGGAAAAATCAGGTCAGAAAAATTAAACAATGAAACATTTGAAGTTTAAGAGTGAACAGGACTCAAATTAAATTAAATAAAAACTATTCAATGAGTCACATTTAAAGAGACAGTAACACCCAAACCTAGAGTGAAGTCTGGTTGGAACGTGTGACCTCCTCCTCCTTCTCATCTCCTCTTCCTCCTCTCCTCTCCTCCTCTTCCTCCTCTCCTCCTCCTCTCCTCCTCCTCCTCTTCCTCTCCTCCTCCTCCTCTTCCTCACCACTCGTGTGACGGTGCCTCCTCCTCCTCTTCCTCTCGTCTGTCTCTGTCTCTGTCTCTGTCTCTTGTTCTTGACGTGGAGCAGGAGGTTGTGGAGGTCTGTGGGCGTCTCCAGCAGGGGGCGCCCACACTTGTCTGTGCGCAGCTCCGGGGTCGAGTCCTTCTTCTCCACACACACCGAAGACTCGTAGTTTTCCACCTGCTGCAAAACAAACAAACAAACAAACTAAAAAATAAACAAACAAACAAATAAATAAATAAACAGATAAATAATGATGGATGTCGTGGGTCTTGGGGACACGTCTCTGTGTCTTTGCTAATGGCTGGTTTAGACCTGGTTTAGACCTGGTTTAGACCTGGTTTAGTCCTGGTTTGGACTTGTTTTGGACCTGGTTTAGACCTGGTTTAGACCTGGTTTAGTCCTGGTTTGGACTTGTTTTGGACCTGGTTTAGACCTGGTTTAGACCTGGTTTGGACCTGGTTTAGTCCTGGTTTGGACTTGTTTTGGACCTGGTTTAGACCTGGTTTAGACCTGGTTTGGACCTGGTTTGGACCTGGTTTGGACTTGGTTTTGGACCTGGTTTAGACCTGGTTTAGACCTGGTTTAGACCTGGTTTGGACTTGTTTTGGACCTGGTTTAGACCTGGTTTAGACCTGGTTTGGACTTGGTTTGGACCTGGTTTAGACCTGGTTTAGACCTGGTTTTGGACCTGGTTTGGACCTGGTTTGGACCTGGTTTGGACCTGGTTTGGACCTGGTTTAGTCCTGGTTTGGACTTGTTTTGGACCTGGTTTAGTCCTGGTTTATACCTGGTTTAGACCTGGTTTGGACCTGGTTTGGACCTGGTTTAGACCTGGTTTGGACCTGGTTTGGACCTGGTTTAGACCTGGTTTGGACTTTTTTGGACCTGGTTTAGTCCTGGTTTATACCTGGTTTAGACCTGGTTTTGGACCTGGTTTAGACCTGGTTTAGACCTGGTTTAGACCTGGTTTGGACCTGGTTTAGTCCTGGTTTAGACCTGGTTTGGACTTGTTTTGGAC